AGCACGTGGCTGCATCGCAAACGCACTAAAGAGGGGGTGAGGTGATTTGACCGTTTGCTTAGAACTCTAAAGTGGGGGCATTCCGACAGGCTCCGCATGAGATGCAGGAAGATGGAGTGGACGCGCATCGTCACTCCACCTGCATCTCAGAGCCTGCACTTCTAAGCAACGCTCAAGTAAAAAAGCGCGTATCGAGTTTGCTCCGATGTTTGCTCCGGTCGGTTGCTTTTTTCCCTGCATGTCCCTTTAGGCTTGAAGCAGTGACCAAGATTCTAACGCTAGGGGTTTGTCTTTTCCCCTGTGTTTTAATCTTGGTTGAATCTTCAGCCGCGTGGCCATTTCTGCTTCAAGCCTTTTGGTAAGGGACATGTCTTGAGGGTTTGACCCCTCTTTCGTTCTTTTTTGAACCCACCCTCCCACCCTTTCACGGCCCAGGTGGAAACCAGCTTCCACAAGGCCTGATTGAGGGATGAATGCACACGCACGAATGGAAGCTTGGCAGCTTCCAACATTTCGTTGGCTTACTGCATATCGCTGCTCCCGCAGGACCAGTTTGAGCATATGCCGCGAGGCCCATGCTGTGCACGCAATCGCTCATCGCCGAATGCCATCGGCATTCTTTCAGACCAGCCTGGTCCCCTGCAGGAGGACGCAATCCTCCCATGCATACCTATGCACGCATTGCATACATGTGCACAATACCTCCTATTTGTCTCACACCCCATGGGTAAAACACCCTGTGTGATGGTCGAACACGCAATGTTGACCACAGGGGGCATTCCGACAGGCTCCGCATGAGATGCAGGAAGATGGAGTGGACGCGCATCGTCACTCCACCTGCATCTCAGAGCCTGCACTTCTAAGCAACGCTCAAGTAAAAAAGCGCGTGTCGAGTTTGCTCCGGTCGGTTGCTTTTTTCCTTGCATGTCCCTTTAGGCTTGAAGCAGTGACCAAGATTCTAACTTAGGAGGAAAAAGAGCAGCGATGTCCGCGATCCTTTCTCAGATATACCCAGATCCAGAAGCGGCGCCAGTGCGCCTGCCTCCTCGTGTTCAGCGCGGTCCTTTGTGCTTGCTTGACTCATTCCATGTGGCTACACCACTACCGCCGCCGCATGCGCCTCCGTCATCCATGATGATGGGTTGACGCAACATGTGTGACGAATCACAATCCGACATCCCACATACCTGGCATCTACCTCAACATCATGATCCACCAGCTGACGTACATTATAAAGGTCGTGAACGCTACTCATCTCCTCAACATCGACTTCTTCTCTCGCCATGCTCCTCACCCAGGAACTTCAGGCTTCACGACAGCAGATCAACGTCCAGAAGATCTTGCAAATCCAGCCCCACTTATCAGCGTTGCCCTTTCACCGTTTTCTCGACATGGCGATCCAGGACTCCCAGAACAAGACTGACACGATGCCGGCATCGCTGTCAATATCTTCCCCTTGGTCATCGGGTACGCCTTGCCCCATGCGCCCGACACAAACGCGAACATTTTCATTGCCGATGCTGGGCCCACCGCGGCCGATAATATCTTCACTGCGGCCTGTGGAAAAAACCGTGCTGTGTATTTCATGGCTTGATTCCATTTCGTATCATGTTGACTTTGCTTGCTTGCCGGATCTCCGTGTCGCTGTTTCGTTTTGTGAGAGTTTGAAGATTGTGTCATGTCGCATCCTCTGCAGATTGACATGTGTGGTCGGTTCCGCGGTACTTTGAGTATGAGATTGTGGCGCTGTTCAAGAATCTTTACACCAAGCTCCTGGAGAATTATCAGTTCCACAATGGTAGCGCCGCCTGACGCCCTTCCATCCACAGAATGGGAGAAGTTCTATATCTTTGAAACATGCTACAGTCCGGATGGTACTGGAGGCGCTTCACCGCAACAATTACTGCCCCCTACATCACATCGCCTTCGACCACCTCACACTCGGGATCAATCATCCGCTTCTTTGTCGGCGTCAGATGGCCTTGTCGAACACTATCTGACTTGGAGTTTGATAGGAACGCGTTAGTGTTGACTGATTGATGGTCGTGAAGGAAAAAGGTAAGTTGCATTGCAGTTCTGATGCGCAGGTTCAATGGATCAAGATGCATATGGCGAATGGAAGTGTGAACCGCCAGTTGATGGCAATAGTGGCCGGCAACCAGTGTGTCGTCGACGAGACTGGACCACTGAAGGATACCGCCGGATTGCTCCTCCTCAGCCACATCTGGACACCGTCTCACATGATGCTGCGACGGTCATTCTGACCGCTAATCCCTGGTGACCTGGGATGATGTAATTGCTGGACTCGAGCGTCTTCAATCAACAGCACCTCGCAACAGCGACACTGGGGCATCTCGCCCTGGCAATCGTCCTGAACCTTATAACGCAGAACCGCCTGACATGGACAATGCTGCCTCTCCGCGCTACGCACCAAGCACAGGCAAAGCAACGAACTCAATGCGCAACCTTTTCGTGAGCCGGCTGATAGCTCATACATCCGGTAACGATTCAAAACATCGGCCGCGAAGGAGCGCTCAGGGTAGTAGTCCGACAAAGTGGCGCATAGTGTCTCACCAGACGACAAAATGGACTTGGGTCATCCTGATGATGAACCTCCTCAATCCACGGCGCCGCGATTTTGGGTTGAGCAAAGTCGCTTTGCGGGGGAGGATTGGGTCAAGATCTTTGTTACTGATGAACCAGTCATCCTTGATGGAACCCAGGAACTGCCACCCCTGGATGGCAACACATATCGGACGTGGAACAAGCACTGGATCGTTTATGACTCAACCCCGGGGGAAGATGAGGGAAGCCCAATTTACGTACGGTGGTACTACGTTTGGAAGCTGCAAGATTGGCGCTGTCAAGGGTATCAACGTGTTCTTTCGAAACAGGACTCCTCTAGCGCCTTTCAGGCTGGATGTGCCTCATGCGGCCCTTCCCCTACCGGCGCAACTGGCATCTTCTCGCAGCATTTGGCATCAACCGCCCCGGAGGTCTCATGATCGTGCGCGCGGAGCCCCGACACCTGAGGACACCCTGGCATCTAGAGTCCGTTCTAGATCACCAGGACGCCGAGGCTATTTTGGCTCCTGAACTGCCTTCGTGCTGATCTGCCCGTTCTTCCCGGAGAACTAGTGCGTTTGCCCCTACGGGGGCGCGTGTGTGCCGAGTTCCAGATCTACCCTTGAACCATGTTACAAATTACAAAAAAACACAGCACTTCACTGGGACTGTGTCCAACGAAGCTACCAGTGAAGTGGGGTATCCAACTTGGCCAACTGGACGTACCTGCAAGTGTGATGTTTGTGAATATCCTTTTGGTCCCCTCCCTGAATCGCCGTTCCTTCCTTGATTCCCTGTTCAACTAACTAGAGTGAAGCCGAGTGTGATGCGAGCCGAAAGTTGTACTCGAAAGTTGCACTCGGAAGTTGTACTCGAAGATGAGCAATCTCCTTCGGGAGTTTAAGTGTGGATGTGTGTGTGTGCGTGTGCGTGTGCGCGCGCGCCGTGCTGTGAGTTGGTTGTCCATTTGAGCACTGGTCCTTTCCCAAGCTCACTTCAAGTGTGTGTTTGTGCGTGTGCGCGTTCAGGACAGACTGCCGTGTTAGGGCCTAATATTGGGGACCACGTGATGGGGTGTTCTGAGGCGTGTCCACCCTGGGCCCTTGCAGTAACGTCTCTGAGCGGACGCTTTGTCATGTTTGGTGCCTCCGTCTATGGGGATCAACGGCATTCTGATGTTTGGTCGCAACCTCTCCCAAACATGACGCACTGCTGTTGTGCTTGTTTTTGCATGCTTGCCGTTTGGGATCATGCGACAGGAACTGGCGGAATTTCTGCAACTGGGCGGTGGACGCTACCGTCGATTACTTTCAATGACCAGAGCGGAATTGTGCGTGTGGGTGTAACATGCTTTCGGGTCTGGTGATCTATTGTTTCGTCGACAGTGACGGCGTTTGAACAGATGTCTCGCGGCGGGCGCCCCGCGGCGCATGTTCTTTGTTTCTCCTCAGGTACTGTTTACTTCCGACCGCCGGCTGAGCGGGCTGTTGTGAAAACGTGATATGACATCGTGACGTGCAGGCGGATATTTTCATAAGTAGAGACCTTGGCAGTGTATCCCGGCAGGCGGAGCAGGTTGTGTCGCTGCTTAGGTTCAGCTTTCCATTCAATTCACCCAGACGCGCAAGACACCTTTAAGTGTATTTTTGCACTGAAAGTCCGTGCAGGAGGTGTTGTTTAAAGGTCGTGTCAATAAGTTGCGTTTGTGAAACTTATTGTTTGCAACTTTCTTTTGAAAGTAACACCATTGCATCGCTCAAGTATGATCAGTGCAAAACACAGCGAGCTGCCGACACAATTAAAACGTGTAACGCACCTTGTTGGTGCAGGTTGCCCTGTCGAAAGTCAATCGCAAAGCAGGCTTTGCGCTATGCGCAAAGGGTTTTGCGCATTTTTGCAAACCAATTTAGCGCAGAATTGTTGTGAAAAATGTTCCGCGCAAGTTCCTCATCGCACAGATGTTCTTGGCAATCTGACTTGACTGTAACTTGTGTTTCCGCGAACACGTTTGTATGTACTGGTGGCTGAATGCTTCCCGTCGCAATTTTTGGGCGCAAATGATTTGCCATCTGAAGGATTTTTTTGTGCGCGCTACACCAGTGCACAGAGCCGCGCAATTCGCTGAAGAACCCTTCGACGCCCGGCTTTTGGAAAACAAAGGTATCCTGGGTTGTTTGATTTTTCTCTATGGACGTTTGCTCGGCTTTTCCACCCAATGCGCTTCGTATTTTGTGTTCTCCTGAATGGAACTCAGTGTCCGCATGCTAGGTGTGCCTTGACGAAGCTTTGCTACGGTGAACACAGCCGAGGAAGGGCAGGAGCCCTGCCTTGGCCAAGGGCAGGAACTTGCAAGGCGTAGCTTGGTCACCTTGATCGGCTTGTGCTAAAAAATGGCGACGCCAAACGTTTGCTTCTTGGATAATATTTTCTTCCGCAGGGCTAGGAAACCCCTCCCCAGCCCCTCTCCACTTGTGCGATGCTGCGCCTGTGCCTGGCTTTGGCGGCCTCGGCCGCCGCGCTCGACCTTGACACCTTTTTCGCGGAGGATGTGGCGCTGGACTTGCTGCAGGCCGGGAGGATGGGGTTAGACAGTCTGTTCGATACACGACCTTGCCACCGTTCCAAGGCAGAAAGCCTTTCAATTATTTGAAGTCTTTGTTTGGTCACCTAGGACGATGCCCAAAACGATGACATGCATTTGTGTTTCCGTTGTTCTTGGAGAGGCTGTACCTCAGGGAGTTGGTTGGCTTTGGCTGACAATAATGGCCGCGAGCAATCCTTCGCGATTTTGCAGGTTTTCCAATTGAACAGCACAGTCTCACATCCTCAAATGGGTAGTCGCATGATTTACACCAACTGTTGAACCACGTTAAGCAAACAAAAAACGCTCAAGGCTGGAAGACAAAACATTCTCTCCATGTAGGTCGCAGATCATCCGCAATCAACATGGGTCTGGGTCAATGAAAGTCATATGTTAGGAGTTTCCCTCCGGTCCCTACCGAGACCCAACATCTAATTTCGAGAACCTCTCGAAATCCAAGGTAGACCAAGATGGGACAATCAGGGTTGTTCCAAACCGCAAATGGATGGTAGGCTCGACATTTTGGCGGAACCTCGCATCCTTTCAGGAAAACAAAGGGCCCAAATAGACACCCCCACTACATCAAACGGATCATAAGCTAGGGAGACATGGACAGTCAAATTCTCTCAGGCCAGGCGAGGCCGGCTTAGCGCGCTCTTGGAGGCGGGGGTGGGGCTTGAAGCGGCTGTTTCAGGGAGTCCCAGCTAATGTTGCCTGCAATTTCTTCCAGTTGTCCAACTGTCCTGTGCCCGCTGGAAAGGATTTCTTGCTGAGAGGGGCCACACTTTCATGAGAGGGTGATGTGTCTGGGCCGGGCCGTCGTCTTTTGGCACCAGGGCCGCCTTTTCAGGTCCGTTTTCTCAAGTGCCGTGGCATTTCTTTTTTGTTAGGTCTAGGACTCTGAAATTTCGGGCGATGAAATTTCTGGTCTATGTGAGGGCCGGGGCTTCGTCTACCTTGGACAAATTGCTGGGTCCCGCCCTCGAAGCGGGAGTTGCTTCCTCGTAGCTTGTAGGTATGCCACGCTCGTCAGCCAGGAAAGGAAAGTCATGAGATGCAGTTTTTGTTTTCCGCCAATAGCAGGCCTCAACACATAGTTGGCCTCCTTTGGTTCTTGCTTGAACACCATCCGGGGCATTGTTTGTTGGTAGAACTCTTTGATGGGCGGTTTTTAGGGAAGGCGAGGGACACCATTCTCCTTGGGGTCCCCTTCATTTGGAGCAGACCGTCTTCCAAAGTATCCAGAGGATCAAATGAATCAATGTAAGGCGATATGCAAGGGTTGTGACTCTTTCTCGGAGGCGATGAAGGATCTTCTATCGGCGATTCAATCGGTAAATATTAAATCCAGCAGACAAGCAACCCCTCCAGTAGCTGGGGGCTTGCCCTTAAGAAGGGGTTTACCCATAAATGTGACTTGTTTGTTCATCGAGACGTGCAGGACCCAGAGGAGACTCCCGCAGTCCCCTCTGAGACAGAGGCAATGGACGTGCCAGAGACAATGGCAACAGACAATGCGACAGAGAAGTTGACTCAAAATGCAACAGCGAATGCCACAGCGAATGTGACAGCAAATGCGACAGAGACCATCGTAGATGTTGATGAAGCGAAGAAGAATGTCACCATCGAGGTGTACCTAGATGGCAAGCTTGTCCCATCCTCCCAATCTGGTCCCCTAGACGCACTCCTGAAAGGGATACAGATACTGAAGTCTAATCCAACTGTCAAGCTGGAGATCAAGGACCAGTTGGGCAACATCATCAGTGAATCTGACATGAAGAGTGGCGAGAAGTATGAGGTGCATATTCTTCAGGCTGGCACAAATTTAGCTTGATGTTGAAGGTAACGCCGTTTGAGACATGACCGCTGTGTGATTGCTTGCATGCTTTGCGTAAGTGTGATTTCTTTTCATAAAGGCACCCTGTTGGGCTACAGAGAGAATCGCTTGTGCATTGATCGTGTGTGACAGGAACCAGTCGAAAATGAACCGGTGGCAGCTGCGGAGAATATGACGGAGCAAGTGAAAGAGAAGGCGGACAATGCTACAGCGAATGCGACAGAGGAGGTGGCGGACAATGCGCCCCAGAAGAATGCAACCGAGAATGTGACAGCGCTAGTGAATGCGACCGAGAATGCGACCCCGAATGCCAAGGCTAATGCGACAGGGAATGTGACACAGAATGCAACAGATAATGGAACTGTGGCCACAAATGTGACCATTGAAGATGTTGATGAAGCGAAGAATGTTACCATCGAGGTGTACTTAGACGGCAAATTTGTCCCATCCTCGTCCCAATCTGGTCCCCTAGACGCGCTCCTGAAGGGGATAGATGCACTGAAGGCTGTAAGTCCGACTGCCAAGCTGGAGATCAAGGACCAGCTGGGCAACATAATCAGTGAATCTGACATGAAGGCTGGCGAGAAGTATGAGGTCGATGTCACCCTTTCCCTACTTCAGGCTGGTGGGTTGCAGCATACTGCCTAAGACATGGGAGTCGTTTGTACAGTAGTTGCTTGTAAGCTTTGTCTGAGTTCGTTTCAAGACGCGCATTTGCATTGATTGTGTGTGACAGGAAGCAGCGGACGATGCAACAGTGCCAACTGCGGAGAATATGACGGAGCAAGTGACGGAGCAAGTGAAAGAGAAGGCGGACAATGCGACAGCGAATGCGACAGCGAATGCGACAGCGAATGCAACAGTGAATGTGACAGCGAATGCGACAGCAAATGCGACAGCAAATGCGACAGAGATCATCGAAGATGTTGATGAAGTGAAGAATGTTACCATCGAGGTGTACTTAGACGGCAAATTTGTCCCATCCTCCTCCCAATCTGGTCCCCTAGACGCACTCCTGAAGGGGATAGATGCACTGAAGGCTGTAAGTCCGACTGCCAAGCTGGAGATCAAGGACCAGCTGGACAACATCATCAGTGAATCTGACATGAAGGCTGGCGAGAAGTATGAGGTCTATGTCACCCTTTCGCCACTTCAGGCTGGTGGGTTGTAGCACAACTTGTGGCTTGCACCATCTAAGACATGGCAGTCGTGTGTGCAGTAGTTGCTTGCAAGCTTTGTTTGAGTTCTTTTCAAGACCAGGACTGTTGGGCTACAGAGATTATCGCTTGTGCATTGATTGTGTGTGACAGGAACCCGTCGAAAATCCAACAGTGCCAACTGCGGAGAATACCTCGGAGCAAGTGAACGCGAAGGCGGACAATGCGACAGCGAATGACACAGCGAATGCCACAGCGAATGCGACAGCAAATGCGACAGAGACCATCGTAGATGTTGATGAAGCGAAGAAGAATGTCACCATCGAGGTGTACCTAGATGGCAAGCTTGTCCCATCATCTCAATCTGGTCCCCTAGACGCACTCCTGAAAGGGATACAGATACTGAAGTCTAATCCAACTGTCAAGCTGGAGATCAAGGACCAGTTGGGCAACATCATCAGTGAATCTGACATGAAGAGTGGCGAGAAGTATGAGGTGCATATTCTTCAGGCTGGCACAAATTTAGCTTGATGTTGAAGGTAACGCCGTTTGAGACATGACCGCTGTGTGATTGCTTGCATGCTTTGCGTAAGTGTGATTTCTTTTCATAAAGGCACCCTGTTGGGCTACAGAGAGAATCGCTTGTGCATTGATCGTGTGTGACAGGAACCAGTCGAAAATGAACCGGTGGCAGCTGCGGAGAATATGACGGAGCAAGTGAAAGAGAAGGCGGACAATGCTACAGCGAATGCGACAGAGGAGGTGGCGGACAATGCGCCCCAGAAGAATGCAACCGAGAATGTGACAGCGCTAGTGAATGCGACCGAGAATGCGACCCCGAATGCCAAGGCTAATGCGACAGGGAATGTGACACAGAATGCAACAGATAATGCAACTGTGGCCACAAATGTGACCATTGACGATGTTGATGAAGCGAAGAATGTTACCATCGAGGTGTACTTAGACGGCAAGTTTGTCCCATCCTCCTCCCAATCTGGTCCCCTAGACGCGCTCCTGAAAGGGATAGATGCACTGAAGGCTGTAAGTCCGACTGCCAAGCTGGAGATCAAGGACCAGCTGGGCAACATACTCAGTGAATCTGACATGAAGAGTGGCGAGAAGTATGAGGTCTATGTCATCCTTAAATGACCAGCCGAGTCCCTACTCCAGGCTGGGGGATCAGTGATGTGTAGATTGAGTTTTCGGCGGCACGTCAAAGGCCATGAACAGTGCTTGTCCGCTGTTCTCAGAATAGGTTTGTCTCCAGTTAAGGCGAAAATTCTCCAAGTTTTTTTTGGGGGGGGACTTTTGTTGAGGCTGCCTCCCTTATGACTAGCATCAGATTCATGCACATCCTTGAATTTGAGCTCCTAGCCGGGGCGCCAGTTTGATTGGGGTCCTTTTTTCCTTTTTTTGTTTCTTTTCTCCGACACATAGAGATGTTTTGCACTTGCAGGCTGCTGCAATGCTGAGAAGAGGTGCACATCTCGCAGGTGATTTCGAAGGCGGACGTTTTTCGAGCCCCTACGTTTTCCAGCAGCCGGCAAGGCTTGCAAGGGGCTTTTTGGTGCTGAGAGCATCCTAGGGACTCTTTTTCTTCATGGGTGGCATTCAGCCAAAAATTCAAGGCACACTGTGCGGAATGCGCTAAAACGCGCGGGAGAGAAAAAAAAGGGCAGCTGGCCATCGAGGTCCATGCTGAATGTGTGAAATCTTTGCGGCAATTGTTTTGTGTTCATATTGTTTGCTGACATGAGAAGCTAGTTTCTTGCGAGAATCTCGAGTCTGTGGTTTGCATGGACACGACCCCATAATTTTCTTACTCGACCATAAATTCCACATCGGACGTGCTTAGATTTTGAGCTCTGTGTACACTTCTTCCTGAAGCAGTCATTGCCTAACGTGTAGCGCGCATTCACCTGGAAAGCAGTTTGTTCAATGAACATGGTCTTTACTTCTGTCTTTTTTTGGTTTTCATTGAAGGGTCCTTTTGGTCTCCTTGGGACATGCTCGCAGCGCATTCCGGCTCCGCCCCCTTCTCTGCGAGAAGATGGCGCCTTTGGCTGCAGAAGTCGACTGGAGATCCCCAAAGGTGGAGACATTGGTTTGTCTCAAGTCCGGGGCACCCAAAACATGTGTTGGTTTCCAAACCACCCAAAGCTTCCCACCGGTTTGCCATTTTGGCAAGTCGGATGAGTTTCGAGTTCTCCATTGAGGTTTCTCCTTAAGAGAAGGGTACCAAGTCTAATGCCAAGTTTTTGCTTCAAGCTTCCCTTCCCTGGAGCCAGCATCTGGGTAATTGAAGCCCGGTTTTGAGTGCGTTTGCCATAGAAGTGATAGAAGTTCCGTTGACCTTTGGTGTGTCTGCTTTTTTCTCCTGATTTTTGCTGATTCAAGTCCCTCTCTTTGCTACTTTCTTTTGCCTTCTCTGCTTTCTCACTGCACAGACAAGCAAGGGGCTCGCTGTTCCATTTGCTTTGCCCAGCTCTCAACGAGCTGCCGCGCCCCTATGCTTGTCAAGGCCCGCCCAAGATGCAATGGCTGTGCGGCAATGCCACCCATTCGACTCATTTCCGGGCCGCATTCGACTCGCCGAGTTGACCTTCGTGGCACCCAGCGGGGCCGCCCCGACGGCCCCCGCCCTGCGCGCGGGCGCCGCGCCCGGCGCGGCGGGCACGGCGCCCGGCGCGGCCTTCTCCGCGCCGATTGTGGGCGCGGCCGCGCTGGCGGCCGTGGTGGGAAGGCGCGGGGTTTATGTTAAGCACCTAGGCGGAAAGCTTGGCGCCAAGCTGCGTGTGACAACAGGGGCGAATAGGTGGAATACTTGTGGTGATGAAACATAGACTGTGAGTTGAAATGAAATCACTAGCATCGCTAGCATCACTATCATCACTACTAGCATGACCATAGTGGCCATTATGGCCATTGCCAACATCATCGCTATCAGTACAGAGGCCACAGCAGCAGCAGCAGCAGCAGCAGCAGCAGCAGCAGCAGCAGCAGCAGCAGCACAGCACCAAGCAGCAGCAGCAGCAGCAGCGCCCCCAACACCAGTATCATCATCATCATCATCATCATCAGCAGCAGCAGCAGCATCATTATCATCATAGTCATACTTGCAAGCCCCACGCTTTATTAAGTCTGCCACCAGCAGGCTGCCGTTGGATAAACCATCCAAAGATGGAGCACACCCGAAAGAAATGTCTTTTTGTCTTTTTCAACCCCAATAATGAAACCATCTTTAAGTCCTACACGCGCGCATACATACGCACACAAAAACTGCTTATGGGTGGCATCCTCGCGAGTGGTGGGCGGAGACAGTTCTCCAAGTACATGACGTTCTATTCAAAGGCTCCACAAAAGGGGAGAGCGTTAGAAAGTGCAGAGCGTGTCAATGTCTAAGGGGCCCACTCGTGAGGCATAGAAGGCCGAAAACGAAAACCTGCCAAGATGAAAGCACGAGCTTGAGATCAGGAGCCATGAGGGTCAAAAGAGGGGTCCTTTTCGCTTGTCTGGGAATATATGAATAGGCAGAATGAGGCAATATACGAAAGTGTGTACACAAACTGCAAGCAAACGCAAGAAGCCCGTTCAAGCGCAAACGGCAAAGTAGATGTGAGAGGAGTTGTCATGTGACCGGATTGTTGGATGCAACACGACCAAAGCGAGAACCACCCCCCCCCCCCCGAAGACCCCCGACCTTCCGCCTCAAAGTCGAGCAAGTTCCAAAGGTTTCGCGGTCCAGCACGCGCTGCCTGCCAACTGCATACATAACATGTATATACATAGAACGGCCGTTTGTATATAATATGCATACAGGGGGAGAGATCAAGAGAACACACACACACACACACCCACACCCACACTCACTCCCACATCCACACTCACACCCCCACCCACGCACGCACACAAACGCAGACTCTTTGTCTTTACACGCATCAAACAACCACAAACAGAAACACACAACAAGAATCAGACAGACAGACGCACACACACACACACAGACCGGCGGACAACTGCTGGCAGGAAGGCCTCAGCCACCACGCGACGAGCCGCCGCGGTGAAGAAGAAGGGTGCCAAGGCGGAATCGGCTGGGAGCTATTCATCGATGCTCGTCCCTTTGGAGGGTTTCCACTACCTGACCCTAACCTCAGCGCGCTGCCACCCCCCCCTCCAACCCCGCTGCTATTTTTTGGATTTTTTGCCCCTAATTAATAGGGTACAGCCCCAGTGTTTTTTTTGTTTTCCTGAGGAAACCAAGCGAGATTTTCCCAGGAGGTTCTCTAGTGGCTAGTGGTTGTTTCCTCCGATTTGCCTTGGGGGGGTATCGATTCCGGGAGCACGTCTTAGATGTTTGGCTCCCAATGTTGGCCAGGGGTCTGGAAGGAATGGCTAGGTTGGACAAAGACGGATAACACCCATCTAATCTACGATTGCCCTGAAAACCCAAAGACAGCCTTTAAGGGGCATCGTATAGGCGATATTCCAAGCTAGCCATGTCCCTGGCTGGTTTGGGTGTTGGTTTCCTCGTTTCATGTTGCCTTCGACCTTGCAAAGCTGACAAGTCCCTTTTGCCTGCTTCGGAACTTCAGCCAACAGGCAAATGTTGACTGGGTTTTGGCATTTTAGAGTTCCTCTCGGGCCAAACAAGGCTCAAGAAGTTGGGGGATTTACGCCGAATCGCCTGGATGATGCATCCCTCCCTCCGATCACGGAAGCTCAAAGCAGGGCTCCAAAAACAACTCCTTTGCGCCTAACATTAGTTTTAAGAGTTGGAACCACCTCAAAAGTGATCGCCAAATTTTGATGTCCACCAAAGAGCCCCTCATTAAAATTCATACCCATATATATATATATATATCTTTATGGGTTTGTGTCAAGATCGGGATTCGGACCCCCAACATGGTGGTTTCCATGGGGGGGGTTCTCAATTTTTTATGTGCCTCAAAAGGGTTGGTTCCTGTGGGTTTACCTTTAAGTATCAACCTGCAGGGGTGCGAAATCCATGTTGAGAAGCACCCTGGAGCTTTGGTTCGGCAGGTTGTCCACGGCAAGGAGATCCCCTGGAACCTCTTCACACCCAAGGCCCCCTACCAGGGCAAGGCGTGCCGCTTCGCGCTCCGCGCATTCGCGAGCATGTGCGCTTTGGTGCCCGGAAGGTTTTGGCGGTAGAGCACCGGGTGATCCGAGCCACATCGGAGAGGACGTAGGAAGTTTTTCGAGGCCTTGGTAGAAGTGCGGATTTAGGCTTTACACGGGAATGCCCCGAACAGCAAGGTTAACCTCGGAGCAATCTGGAGGACAAGACTAGTGGCGACAGACCGACGAGACGCAAATCTTAAAAGACATACATTCGCTACAGACTTGCTGTTTTGGTTTTCCGATGATGCGAGATTGTACGGGGCCAAAATACATGTATGTGTATATATATATATATATACATATTGCACATCTATATGCACTACACTGCACTACACTGCACTACACTGCACTACACTTCGCTTCACCGCACTGCACTGCATTGCATCGCATCGCGTTGCGTTGCGTTGCACAGCATTGAATTGCATTGCATTGCTCTGTGTCGCATCGCATCGCATTGTATTGCGATGCATTGCATTTGCAATGACTTACACATGCACGATGTACATTGTACATGGTACATGCACATGCACATATACATATAGACATACATGTACAGGCACATGTATTACCCGCAGAAAGAACCTGTTGTTGAACAGCCGACGTTTTCTCCACAGGTTTGGGGCACACATGACCTACTGTTGGGGGGGTTGTTTGCTCGTTCAACGCTGGATGCGCTGTTGCCGCGGCGTGAGCAAGCACTTCACAGGTCAGCAAGACAGTCATGCCTCCGTTCCGGAGGTGGTTGAGAACGACAAGCACCCCCAGACCTTGACCGAGGAGACGGGAGACGCCAACTGGGAGACCACCCACGTGACCTTCGACCACGGTGGCAAGGTTCCCTACATCGAGGGACCGGGATGGTGCACGTGTTGGTCCTGTGAGCCCTCAATCAAAAAACCGAAGTGAAGATGAAGGCTGCGAGATAACCTTGTCATTTTTGACCATGGGGTTTGGGTTGACACCGTACCGTGGTTTTGAATATCAAATTTTGCAACCCTTCCACATGGACTTGGTGCGGGCTCCGTTGGCCTACTGCTTGAGGCAACGTACGCTTTCACTCGCCTGAGTTCGTGGAACTGAGAAACTGACAAAGTTATTGGTCATCATTTGTTGGAGGGGCCCCAATTGTTTCATGTTAGCCGTGGCTCTGCATAACATCGGTATATTCTCTGCCGCGCAGGACAGTCCATCGGCGTGATTGCACCAGGCAGGGGCCCAGTGGAACTGCGGATGAACGGGTTGCGATGACCCCAGGACCGTCATGTATCATCCGAAACGCACCCATTTGGCATGGGTAATCACTATTTTTTTTTGTGATTTTTAATGGGGTTCACCGAAGTTCCGGACACATATCGTATTGACCGGGAACCAAGCAGCGCGGGCTTTGAAGTGGAATTGGTGTGGAAGTTAAGGTTTTTTGGCTGGGTTTCAAGGGGAACCCAAAAATGTGGTGCACGTTCCTTTATATGGGGGATATGTATTTGGTATTGATTTTCCTCAGACCATTTTGGAGGGTAACCGTTTCAACGGGTCCTGCTTTTAGCTGGGGCATCCTTTGGTTCAAAGGGTTGATCCTTTGAGTGTTTCAATGGTTTGCGACAAACGACGCACAGCCCTGTCGATTTATTGCTGGTTGGCGCACATGGGCTCTCCCTTTTTGTAAGCAGGGTGCTAAAATGGCATGATCTAGTTAAGCCTTCAGGCATAGGCAATACATAATTTGCAGAGACTGAGTGAGCATTGACCTCGGATTCGTCAACCTGGCGGATCAATAGGGGGGGGTGTTTCGACCAAAGTGCAGGGGACCCCCCCGAATCAGTCAACCAAGGGTTATTCATCCTGGGTTCCCCATTCGGTACTTCTGAAAGTGCTTGAGTTCAATCTGAAACCGAACAAACCATTTTTTGGAGGAATGGGGGGCCGCGCATTGTTCGATTTGGCCTGGAATTCATATGCCACAGATTATAGAACCTTTCCTAGCACCCCCCAAAAAAAACACACACACCACCGCCCCGAACACAGCTCCAAAAATGGTTTATGTTAGCCTTTCCCAAAGGCGGGTTATGTTGGGGGGAGGGAGGTCTGTGTTTGGGGGCCCCGTTCAGGATTGTGTGAATAGAGTTGGCATTGGATCGGGCCGTACGCACTTGCCGCTGACTTGCCCACGCAGAGTTTTAAGCTTCAAGAACCGCTGAAACCTTTTCAGCATACCCTGGACCCCTAAAGGAATGCACATGGGAGGGATGAGGTCTGGCTACGAGGGAAGCATGACAAAGACCGGGTTGGTGGGTCTCCGCCCCAACAAGGCAAATCAACGCTATTTGGGCTTGCACCCAGCCACTTTTATTGTCCCATTGAACTGCATAGCCAGTTTGGGCTTCTTATTTGCTGCATGCCAGTGGAAAAGTTGGGCAATTGTCCCTTTCGTTCGTGTCCATGGAAAAAGGATCCGAAACGCACAAAACAGCACATTCGCCTTTGAACACAACTAAGGCCAGGGGGGTACGCTGCAATGCTTCAAGCGGCACTGTTCAAATTCCCACCAAAATTCAACAGAAAAAAACGCCCTTCCACTGCTTGTCCGTGTTCTTCAAATGCCAGGCCCGGACAAGAAGGGCGAGACCCCCGCGAAGATCCGCTTGTACTCGATTGCCTCCTCGGCCGTAGGGGACAACCAGAACTCGAAGACTGTGTCGCTGCGGCTCGACGACACTTAAACATCAACCTAGCCCGCTCGACGCCGGCCGCGATTTTGCCAGAGCTTTTGCTCGTAAATTGCCCGACTCTAAGAGCGAATCATCATGATCAGAGAAGAATAATGTGTGGAAGTATTTCGGGCCCCCGCTGCAAATTGATGTGGAATCTCAACAGAGGGGACCCCCAAAAAGGAGGTTCCTCTAAATAGGCTGGTTTTTGGGGTTCGTTCCAATCACGGAAGCATATTCGGTTCAACAGAAACTTCTTCAAACTTCCCGGCCAAAAAGGGTCCAGCAGGTGGTGCTTTCTTCTTGAGTCTCGCGGCAAGTGCGAGAAATTGAAGCCCACTTTGAACGGCAATCTTGGTAGCATGCTCGTAAACAGGGTCCAACAAGGGTATTGTTTTTTGGAGATCCTTTTCAGCATGACTTAAGTTGAAGGAATGACAAGAGATCTCAGCCCGTGGGTCCAAATCCATGCTCTGTGAGTCGCTTTTTGAAGCTGGCCCTTAGTGATGCTGTCCTCATCTTGCAGGGGAAAGAAGGGCACCTAAGGTTGAATGTCCTCCCATGAACCCCCCCCCCCCCCCCCCAATTTGCCATGGTTTTGTGGTTGGATGTGGGTCACTTGTGATCCAGGTGCTTCTTGGCAAGGATGGCCATGGATCCCAGGAATGTTACAGCCCACACACGATAAGTTTTGACCCTGGCTCATGTGCTTGTGACTCGCATACCTACCTACCCGCGACGTCTGCGTATATATATATATATACACATGAATGTTCTATTTATTATATATATATACACAGAAGTATATGCACATGTATAAATACACATACCCACGCCGTGTCTCTCTCTCTCTCTCTCTATGTTAATGCACACAAGCGCACACACATATATAAATTTATATTTATAGACATGACATATACATGAACATGTACATGTACATGTACATGTATATCATACACGCATATGACGCATGTGTACCTACACGTTTGCGTAAGCGTATTCCGTGTTGCGTATATATGGTACCGTGTTCCGTGTTGTTACCCCCCCCCCCCCGGGCCCGAGAAGCCCGAGCCCCCGCATCTACGGTCCCACCCCCACCCCGAGCCCCTGAACTCGCACCCCGACACCCTGGCACCCCCACCCCCAGGACAAGCCAACCCGAAACCAACCCTAAACCACCACAACCCAACCACAGGACCACAACCACAGGGGGGTGGGTGGGTACTTGTCTGACTCATGACCATTGGGGGGGTGGGGGTGGGGAGAGGGGGGTGGCAACGCTGTACCATATATATATATATACATATGGGAAGGGGGTGGTACTGTTCAGGTGCGTGAAGCGTGTGGTGGAGCTGGACGGAAAGTTCGCGAACCGAGAGAAGGGCGAGGACGGGGATGGGCGTAGCTGAGAGCCCAAATCTGCCTTTGGGAGGAGTCGCAGTTTTTTGTTGGAGCCCTATGGAGGCTTCCATGTGTGCAGCGTATGGCGGGAGTTTTTTTCTTTTTATCCTTTCGAATGGTTGGTATTTCTTAGGAGACTTCGGAGGCGTTTAGGCGGAATGCAGTTGCCGTCGCGATGCCACTTCGAGCCAGGCAAGCTCGCGACTCGCGCGCCAGACGCCTCACCATTGGAGGGTATCAACCCATGGCACAGTTTGTATTTGTGCATCCTCTAGCTTAGGCTAATGTCGAAGCTGGATTAATCAATCCAAGCAGCTGAATACTGGGGTGTTTGCCCCCACAGGTGCAGGATGACGATCCCTGGATGCCCCCAATAGGAATACCAGGGCTGGGGCCCGAGTCAAACATTACCTAAAGCTTTGAAGCAATGGTTCAATCGACTTCGCCGATAGGACAAGGCAGACAAGGCCGGCACCGCCTACCCGGACAACAAGGCGGGGGGCCATTTGCCCATGCTTTGATCGGGAGCGAGGGAAGGCGTGTGGTGAATGGGAAAATATCCCTTGACACCAACAATCCAAACAACCAGCTAGAGAGAAGCTGACGTGGTTTGTGTTTTTGGAAGGGTCCCCCTTTAATTCAACTACTCACAGGATGTATCTCCGGAGGGGAACTCACGCTTCGACGAATGGCTTCCCAGAGCACCTTTCCAGACGGCTGCCTGCCTCAACCGGGCGGATCGTTTGGCAAGGCAATCTCATTCGGGCCAAGATTTGCTTTTGATCCCAGAGACAAACCGCTACTGGCCCCCATAAGTGTAGAATCCCCATGTTTGGAGGGACCTGGAAGTTTGGAATGGTTCTGTGGGTTTTCTTTTCGTCAAGCGGACCGAAGGACTCCGCAGCCCCGAAAGAGATCAATGAGAGCATCGCAAACAGGTCTTCGATCGCTTCCTGTAGATTTTCCTGCTGGATTCTACGTTTTCTCTCGGGACGGTCCCAAAAGGCAGATTCCTTTGGGAAGGAGGCCTCTGTCCTGAAAAATGTGGCGCTTGGGCTGTTTCCTGTCTGGAACGGTCATCACTTGTTGCCTAGGAAAGGGGGATCTCTAAGAACTCTTTTGGTTTTCTGTTTAACCCCCCCCCCCAGGTAGGGGTCCCCAAAATTGTGGAAACACATGAAACACCTACAAAGTCTGGGGGCTGACACGTGCGGCAAGATGGAGGTTCTTGTCTGGACATTTCCCGATGAGGAAGGGCTTGGATGCAAAGTTTTGGTCTTTCGAGGGTTTCAAAAGGCAAACTCAACAACGATCTTAAGTTGTTCGATGTAGGAGTGGATCTTTCGTTTTAGAGGAAGCAACGCCTGATCAACATCTGCCAGAATCGGTGAGCCCACTACGCGTGCAAATCCACCTCACAGAGTGCAAGGGTCAATGTGGCCGAAACAACCCAAGAAATAAAGTAACACAACAGACCCGCCCATGGAACACTGTGACAAGGGTACTGCTGAATGCAGATTTGGGTAAAACGAGCTCTCCCATGAGGTTGCCTTAGTGGGGCTTCCCTATTTCCGGTTTGGGTCTGCCTCTCCATGAGGTTCGGGCAAGATTATCCCAATATATGTAGGGTTGCATACATCCGAGGTGATGCAGGATGTTTCATTTCACAGTATATTCATTTGCTCAGATGCACTCCTCGGCAGGTCTATCGTGGCGTGTGCTCCAACCACATCTGTGACATGACCCCAGGAGCTGCCTGTGCCGTGTCGCGTTGAGGCTTTTGCACCGTGCTCTGGTGGCTTTGTATTCGAGTTGGTGGACACCGAGGCGGTATTCTACCTTTTTCCCCAACAGCTGAAAGCTTTGGGGTCTCAGCCCAGATAGGCTCTGGGGTGGTCGGGGCGGCCCTGAGGTAAGGTTCCACGAGGGTTCCACAAGGTTCTTCAAGGGCTGCGGGGTGGTGCGAGCACAAAAAGAGCACCGCATGCTGTTGGGGACATCACCTGAGTGTTTTTTCTTTTTTGGGGGGTAAACGGATATGACTTTTTTGGATACATTCAGGTTGAGATTCGGCAATGGCGGACTTGAGTGCAGGTGTTCCGGAAAGGGCGGGTATTCGTTCTCTCAAGTGTTACTCACGGTGTCAGCCCAGGCAACATGAGGGGGTGTCCCATTAAAGAGAGAAACCGGATCAAGCTTTGGGGAACCACACTCGATTGATTAATGAGCGATATTAACCAGGCTCCCGCCTGCTGCCGCCGACCCTCGGCGCATTAAGGGAAAAGTCACAAGGACCGGTCCTGAAACACGTCCGCAAACCCAGGGACCACTTATAAGATCCTCTACGACCACAAACAAGGATTAACGGAAAAGTCAGAAATAGGGCAGCTAGTCCGTTAATTACCGCTTGGGCCGGCTTGCGCCCAAGTCACTTCGAGTTGGCGCCTCTCCCGGGGTCGCCCTGAAGCTGGCCCTCCCGAAGTTGCCCTGGACCGGTTGCCGGCAGGGACCGGGACTTGGGACCCTATCCAGGCTGGTCCCAGTCTGGCGCGGTTTGGCTCGACGTATTGGACTCTCTTGCAGAATAGATGCAGGGATCCTCTACTACCACAAGGATTAACGGAAAAGTCAGACAGATGACAGCTCGTCCGTCAATAACCGCACGGGCCGGTTTGTGCCGAAGTCACGTTGAGCGGGTCCTAGAAACAAGGCTGTTGGTCCCCCTCAACTGGTCGCAATCAGTGACGACCTGGGACCCTGTCCAGTGTGCTGGGTGCCAGTCCGGAAAGTTTTCTGGAGCTCACCGGTCACACCAGGACTCGATCCCGGGACCACCGGTCCCAGGACCCAGGACCGGTCCCAGGCCAGGACCGGTTTTGGCTGACTACAAGTAATCTGAAACAGCAGAACCAGGGTCCCAGGACCGGTCCCAGGACCGGTCCCAGGACTGGTCCCAGGACTGGTCCCAGGACCGGTCCCGGACCGGTCCCGGGACCGGTGCTGGGAATCCACTTTTTGTGCGTTCGGGCGTGCCCCCCAGGGACTATCATTGATTAGGCAGAGGGTCGGCGGATATCAGTCCAAGGCCGACACATGCTGCACCCTGTGACCGAGTTGGCCATCCGGTGGTTCTCAGTTGCGTTCTAGGGCCAACAGTCCACCACACAACTCTTTGCTCGGCTCGGCGATTGACGTCGATGTCGCGGTACGAGTTCGTGACTCAAAGCAAGAGGTGGTTGTAAACCACTTGGGGGGCAGACAATATAGGTGTGTTTGCAAAATTTGGCACCGAACACACGGCTGTATTTTTGAAGGAAGCTTAGAAGGTGACAGTTGCCCTTGGTTCAAGAGCCACACTTTTAGTTGTTTGTGACAGGTTTTGGGTAGACTGCTCTATACCCAGGTTTTGGTTCTGACTCAAATGGTTTTGATACTGACTCACTTGTTTTGACGACTCGTGCATCAGCTTCCCGCGAATTGGTTCGCGGGGGTGGGGGGGTTCCCGAGTGTTTTGGTTTATTGGTCCTGTTCATTGTTAGTGGGCTGAAAAGGCAAGCAGGTTTTCGCTCACGTGCCAAGGATGGGAAAGAATCCGAACCACCAACTAGGGTTTACCTGATACATGAGCAAATGGGAAATGGGAAGCTCCCCCCCCGAACCTGCAAACCACCAACACCAATTGGGGGTGTCCAGGAGATGACGTGCTCATCACCGGCCCTAGCGGGGCGGAGATGCTGTTGCGACCCGGCACAGGAAGGAACCACCCTGCCCTTGGGCTTTGTCTCCTAGGCATTGATTGTTTTTTAGAAGGGCCATTTGGAAGGAGAGTTCGTCAGGGTCCCATGAAACCAGCCAAGGTGAGGTCGTCGCGCTTTGCGCGCAATGGCCGTCCGCTTTCCGCCCCAGCCAGGTTTTGTTTTGGCCCATAGACCAAAAGATCAAAGGTTGAGGTTGGAAACACCGGATCCTGCACAAAGCTAGCTGCTTCATGCAACTGTCGTCGTACTGGGGGTGCGGACGATTACCCCTTGTAAAATTTTCAGAACCCTAAGAACCTTGTGTGAGAACTTTTTGGTTGCGGGGGGGGCATGCGGGGGGGGGGGCAAAGCTTTGGTTTCCTTCCCAACTCTGACCAGTGAGGGACATCAAGCTGGACTTGGCTCGAAGGCAACCGGCAAGTAATCAATCTGTGGAGCTCCTTTTCGGCGGTGCGCCTTGCCTCCGTTCCCGCCCTTCAAGTGCGCTCAGCCCTGCAGATTCTCAAAACCCTTCGATCAGAGCCCCTAGGTTTACCAATCCAAGAACTCACTCGTCCCAAACAAGGTCTTCACCAATTTGGGTTTCCCTTCTTGGTCATGAACCATTTTCAGGTCGGGAGACTTCCTGCGTGCCTGGTCCTCCTTCCTCCCAGGCCAGAGGACCCAGAGGCGAACATCATCATGCTGGCCACAGGCGAACGTCCGGCCAACCCAAAGCGCGTGAGACGGTTAACCCAAAGAAAGCTTCACAATGCGGGGTTTTCTCGAGTTCAAAGTGCGGCCAGAGTCTCCCGATCTCCCCTGTCGCAAGGCTTCTAGAGCCTCAGTGTGGTTTCCTTACCAACTCAAAGGGGGTCCACCATGTTCAGAAACTACCATTGTGTAAAACGAGGCGCCAATCGGGTGTCACAAATGGGGTAGATCAAGAGCAGGTTGTTGTTGGCTTGCCGTGATCTCTGCAGTTGGACCAGGGCGAAAAAGCTTCCAAAACACAAATTCATTCCACTGACAGTGCAGTTGTTGCCTGCTGGAAATAGATCGCTGTGAATGCTCGCGGGTTTTCATGCTTAAAGACTTCTGCGGAATTTTTGTGCCATCTTTTTAAGTTTAGGGCCCCAAGAGGGCCGCTTGACATTTTGACAGGCCTTGTATATGCTTGTGGCCAGTAGCCACTAGCTGCGAATCTGCTACCGGGTTGAGGTGCAGCTGGCATCACGTTTGTTCAGGATTCAATCTCAGGTCCGAAGAAACCCCAACGACTAGTGGAACCCGCAGCCCTGTTTTTGTGGGTTACTCAAACCCTGTGTGTTTGGGCCGGAAAAGCCCCATTTCCAAAAATGGCGCTGACAGGAATGAACTTTCGTGTAACTGGGTTCTCAAAGAGGGCTCCCTTCCAACAGCATTGATTCGCCCCCACACTTCCTCGAGTGGTCTCTTGCCCTCACCTCCTTGACGGGTTTGCTTTGTGCCTCTCTTTGTCTTGCCATGCATATGTGGGTCCTTGGGCTCCCTGTCGGGAATAGCTCAGGTCAAGGCCTTCTTTCACCCCGTACCATTCAGAAAACTTTTTGCCGTAAACTGTTCGCTTCTGATGTTCAGCGTCAAGGCGAACAAAGGCAAGAAAGGTGGAGAGGGCACCATTGCAAAGGTGTAGACAGAGACAAAGATGGGCACGGCTGAAAGAACGCTTTGATTTGAGCTATTCCCGACAGCAAGGCAGCAGCTAACTAGACGGATCGTTGAGGTCTGCGTTGCGCTCAGTTGGGGTGGGGGGTGACTCCCAAGGCCCCACATATGCATGGCAAGACAAGAGAGGCACAAAGCACACCCCACCGTCAAGGAGGTGAGGGCAAGAGACCAGCCGAGGAAGCGAAACAATTGTTGGAAGGCAGCGCTCGTTTGCAAACAAACCTTTGGTTGAAAATGCAACCCAGTTACGCGACAGTTCATTTAGGGATCCTTCAAAAGGCTTGTTTTGGGTTCTGCTGCTTGTGTTTTCATTTGGTCAGTTTTCTTTTTGGTCGGAGGCACCGGCATCGCGCCCATGCGCTCCTACTGCCGCCTCCTCTTCCACGACGACGCCGGCGCTGGCTCCGCCGCTCGAGCCGGGCAAAACTACTCAGTTTGGGTGTACCACGCATTTGGAGAGGAACTCTGGGGGATCAACACAGTTGGACAGGAGCTGTGGATCAAAGGGAAAACCAGTCAGATGGGTTGCGCATCCCAAGCTCTCCAATTGCAGTGGAGAGCTGGCCGGGCTCCAAGGACGGCCGCAAGTTCAAGGGCCTGGCCTGGCTCTTCATGGGGGTGCCCTACTCCAAGTCTCTGCTCTACGACGATGCCCGGGGCCCCAAAACGAGAGGGGAATCTCAAGGTGCGGGCAAGCGGGCGTGTCCCCCCCCTCCCCCGGAGCTTGAGCGGAAATCATAGGATTCAACACTTGCTTTTGTTTTTACAGGGAGTTCACGTACTTTAATGAGCAAGCACACAATTCTTAGCGCAGACAAACACCCAACTCGGGATCAACAGAACTCGAACTTTTTCTCTCGCAAAGATCCCGAGTTTGACAAAGTGGTAGTTAGGGTTCCCCCGTTCCGTTTGTTTTTTTGGGAAATCTGACGTCCCGAGACTGCTCAAGTTGGGCCTGTGAAGAGGTTCTTGTCAGGCCTAGGGTGAAGCCCCTTTCTCAGGAGCACCAGGAGTACAAGTCCAAGTACCCGGACCAGTTCCGCTACGACTACGCGGTGAGCCGTGAGCAGACCAACGCAGAAGGCCAGAAGATGCCTGGGAGCCCAGCCCCAGAGGTGGAGGGGCGAGAGAGGCCCATGTTGGGATTCGGATTCTGTTGTGTCGGGTCTTTTTGTATTTTCGCTTTTTGGGGTGATTGAAACATGTGGACAAAATGAGTTTCCTTTGGGGACATATAAGCATTTGTACTTTTGTTGGATAGGGAGAAAACGTGTACCATGGTCTCCTCAAGCACTGGGCGCCTTTGCGGACCTTAGGAAGCAGGATCATCCAGAGGAGTTCATCTTACGAGAGCTGGCTCCACCGCTGTCTTGTTCTGCCCAGTTTCTATCAGTAGGCTTCCCTGCGGCTCCCCAAAGCAACCCGGATCGAGCTTTGAATGGTTTCGTGACCAGGGTGTGACCATGGGTGAATGATAGGGTATCCCTCCCTTCACTCATCCCTTGGACCAGGTTTGTTGCGCAATAATCTCTGAGGCCCCCAGAAGGACCGGATATTTTCCGCTTTCGGTGGCTGTTTTTTTTCGGACTTTGGTCTCAGGGATTCCTTTCCACGACCGATTCGCGGCACTTTCTGTAGAGGTGCTTGCTCGCGTGCCTCCTTTTGTAGAGCTCTCACCCTGCTGTCCACACGGTATTTCCCCCCAAAAATTGGAGCCCTTCTTGGACAGTAGGAAGGCCTCTTCAGGCCCCGTTTTGCGGGTCTCGTTGCAGTCGCAATCCGTCAGGTACATTCAGACCAAGATGGCGGAGTATGCTGATGCCCGGCAAAAACCTGGGGCTTGTGGCCGGGGCTGTGGCAACAGCTAGATGTCGGGAGCCAGGGAGGAAGTTAGCTTCCATTTGCTGAACTTGCAGGGTATGATTTTACCTAGGTTGAGGCACGGGTCACACATAAGTGGTGGAAGGTCGCTTTCGAGAGCCTACTATTAGACGCTCCGAGTTCATCGATGCTTGCTTCATGCGAGGGTCGTGTTGGATCAGGTCCGCCCTTGTTTGGTTTGATGTTCTCCAGGTCGATGTTTTCGCACCTGAAAACACAGCAAACTTCTTGCTTGTTCCGGCGGGACATGAGGGAAGAAACAATCCTACGAACCTCCACACACAGGGAGCCACTTCTGCATCACAGGAGGTTTTTCATGCATAGTCCCTTAAGAACAAGCAAAGCGCATGTGGAGAGCACCCTTCCTGGGGCGGTTGAAACCGGAAACCAAGAGAAGACTGGCCATTTCTGGCGGCTCCAAACCCCATTTGCAGACAGATGTGGGGAGCCCTTTTTTGATTGCTTGCGGCGCGCTATCTCCGGGAGGCCGAACATTGGGCGCCCAGAAAGGTCCTCAGGGCACTTACCACTTAGAAGGTTCCTTCAGGACAGCAAAGGGTGGCTTGAAGGTTGGCGCTGGTTTTGCTCAGCGGCATGGGAACAGAAGGATCGCCTGTTTTTTGCAGGCGGAACATGCACGCACACATACACATACATACACACACACACACACACACACACACACACACACACACACACACACACACACACACACACACACACACACACACACACACACACACACACACACACACACACACACACACACACACACACACACACACACACACACACA